TGTAAAATCTGAAAAACCCCCCCACCCCCCCGTTTCAGTTTTAGTTGACCCCCCCCCCCCCGTAGAGGTCAGATCAGGGGTGTGGTCTGGTTCAGGTGTGGAGGTGTGTCATGTGACCTTACATGTTGATGAGGTGGATTTTCGCCTGAAGTCCTTCAGCTCCTCGGTTGTTGGTGCTGCCACCTGAGAACAGCTTCAACTTCAGGAAGGTGAACCTGAAACACAGAGAGAGAACACCTGAACACAGTCCAGGACCAGTATCAGTCTAGGACCGGTATCAGACCCAGCTGGAGCACTCACCACTTGAGGCGACACTGGATCCAGGATCTGGTTCCGACCTGCTGACTGATCTCCTTCCAGGGCAAGTTGTTCCACAGGTGGTCTCTGGTCAGAACTGGACCTGCAGGATTCTGCTGGGCCAACACCTCCAGGTGAGCCTTCAGAGCTCGTTTCAACCTGGACTCTTCATCTGGACTCCACAACCCACGACCTGGAGCTGCACATGGACACAGATCAGTCCTGAACTGGATCCTGCTTTAAAATATTTTGAAGGTGACAGACACAAAAGATCTGGAGCAGGTGTGGTAGCTGTAGACCCTGACCCAGCCTCAGACCTGCACCGTCCCAGCCAGAGTCCAGACAGAGACATCTCACTGCTGAAGTCACAGTCCTGGTCTGAGGCAGATCTGGTTTTAGTCTGAAGGATCTGGAGTCACACCGGCTCAGGGTTCAGGGTGTTTACCGATGGCGGCGAAGCGTTTCTCCAAGGCGTAAGCGCTGCGGTCCATCTTCTTAGCGATCGTCCTCCAGTCGTTACCGTGGAGGTTCTGAAACTTTATCAGAGAACGCATCTCCTCCTCTGAGAACCTGAAAGAAGACACCCACATCAGAGGGTTCCACAGGTAGAACACTGAGATACAGGGGGTTCTTCAGATAGAATATAAAGATACAGGGGGTTCTTCAGGTAGAACACTGAGATACAGGGGGTTCTTCAGATAGAATATAAAGATACAGGGGGTTCTTCAGGTAGAACACTGAGATACAGGGGGTTCTTCAGATAGAATATAAAGATACAGGGGGTTCTTCAGGTAGAACACTGAGATACAGGGGGTTCTTCAGATAGAATATAAAGATACAGGGGGTTCTTCAGGTAGAACACTGAGATACAGGGGGTTCTTCAGATAGAATATAAAGATACAGGGGGTTCTTCAGGTAGAACACTGAGATACAGGGGGTTCTTCAGATAGAATATAAAGATACAGGGGGTTCTTCAGGTAGAACACTGAGATACAGGGGGTTCTTCAGATAGAATATAAAGATACAGGGGGTTCTTCAGGTAGAACACTGAGATACAGGGGGTTCTTCAGATAGAATATAAAGATACAGGGGGTTCTTCAGGTAGAACACTGAGATACAGGGGGTTCTTCAGATAGAATATAAAGATACAGGGGGTTCTTCAGGTAGAACACTGAGATACAGGGGGTTCTTCAGATAGAATATAAAGATACAGGGGGTTCTTCAGGTAGAACACTGAGATACAGGGGGTTCTTCAGATAGAATATAAAGATACAGGGGGTTCTTCAGGTAGAACACTGAGATACAGGGGGTTCTTCAGATAGAATATAAAGATACAGGGGGTTCTTCAGGTAGAACACTGAGATACAGGGGGTTCTTCAGATAGAATATAAAGATACAGGGGGTTCTTCAGGTAGAACACTGAGATACAGGGGGTTCTTCAGATAGAATATAAAGATACAGGGGGTTCTTCAGGTAGAACACTGAGATACAGGGGGTTCTTCAGATAGAATATAAAGATACAGGGGGTTCTTCAGGTAGAACACTGAGATACAGGGGGTTCTTCAGATAGAATATAAAGATACAGGGGGTTCTTCAGGTAGAACACTGAGATACAGGGGGTTCTTCAGATAGAATATAAAGATACAGGGGGTTCTTCAGGTAGAACACTGAGATACAGGGGGTTCCGCAGGTAGAACATAAAGATACAGGGCGATCTGCAGGTAGATCATAAAGATACAGGGGGTTCTGCAGGTAGAACATAAAGATACAGGGGGTTCTGCAGGTAGAACATAAAGATACAGGGGGTTCCGCAGGTAGAACACTGAGATACAGGGGGTTCCGCAGGTAGAACATAAAGATACAGGGGGTTCCGCAGGTAGAACATAAAGATACAGGGGGTTCCGCAGGTAGAACATAAAGATACAGGGGGTTCCGCAGGTAGAACATAAAGATACAGGGGGTTCTGCAGGTAGAACATAAAGATACAGGGGGTTCTGCAGGTAGAACATAAAGATACAGGGGGTTCCGCAGGTAGAACATAAAGATACAGGGGGTTCTGCAGGTAGAACATAAAGATACAGGGGGTTCCGCAGGTAGAACATAAAGATACAGGGGGTTCCGCAGGTAGAACATAAAGATACAGGGGGTTCTGCAGGTAGAACATAAAGAACAGAAACATTATTTGGTGGTTGGACCTCTGACCTTCCCATGTGATTCCTCTCGTCAAAAATCTTCTTGGCTCTGGTGTGAACCTGATGACACGTCCGAGGGATCCCCTCAGCTGAGAGGCAGACAGGTGGAGAGAGAGAGATGGAGAGATGGAATAAAGTACTTTCCATCAGTGACAGTCCATGTGATCAGCTGATGATGATGATGACGATGATGTATAGACGTACCAATCCTCTCCAGGAAGTGATGTTGTACTCTCAGCTTCCTGATCTCCACCTCCTGCTCTTTGTACCTCTGAGGAAACAGAAGCTGATTGGCTGAGCTGATGCCTGTCAGAGCCAGGAAGTCTGAGACGTTCTGTCTGATTCGCAGATTCTCCTGCTGAGAGCACCGCCCCTGACGCAGAGACACACCTGGAGGAACAGGTGTGTCTGAAGTATTAGTACCTTGCTGTCTGAAGTGCTTGCAGTATTAGTACCTTGTCTGAAGTGTTTGCAGTATTAGTACCTTGCTGTTTGAAGTTCTTGAAGCGCTGCAGGTCGTATCTGAGCAGTTTATTGATCTCATCGACTGATTTTTTCTTGACGTCTGGAACAAACTCCTGCAGCTCCTCCACCAACGCCCAGTCCACCCTACAACAAAGAGGAAGACTTCATCCTATAGGCTGTAGTAGGGCTGGGCGATAAAACGATAGAGATAATTATCACAAAATAACTTATATAAGACATGGTCGATACAATGTCGATAGGCAGGTGACAGACAACACAAACAGCCAATGATAATGAGAATAGCGTTGCGCCGAACCAATCATGTGGCTGGAATAGATTAGATTTTTGTTGATCAGAATTAAGGTTGTAGTTTATAATATATACCTATTTTATTTATTTTTCACAGTATATTTGTCATGTTAAACTTCTGACAAAAAAAAACATTTAAACCAAAATGAACCTGATGTCTTTACATCTCGCTGAGGAGTAAGTAGGAACCTTTAAGCTTGACAGAAAAACAGAGTTTTATTTATATCGTAGTTTATATTATAGTATTACATTATTTACCTTATAACATTACGACTTTTATCTCAAAACGTTACGACTTCTTTCAGATATTTGATGTTATTTTCACGTGTTCACATTACAAGAAAATAACTCACTGATCTTCATCTACAGCTGCTCTTCCTTTCTTTGTCTTCCTCACCCCTCCTCTTCTTCCTGTCATCATCCTCCTCTCCTCTTTCTTCTTCTTCTCGTACTTTATCTCAGTGTTGTCCATTTCTATGGAAACCGAGGAGCCTGTTTCTCTGTTGTTATGGTTTGTTACGGAGACGACAGTGACATCACTCAGTTCGTTCTTGTGTTTCTTCTTCTTCTTCTTTTTTTCTGTCTCCCTGGTTTCTACAGCGGCCTCCAACTCCTTCTCCTCTGCTCCTCCCTCCTCCGGCCTCTCCTTTCTCTTCTTTTTCTTCTTTGTTTTTTTCTCATTCTGGTTGTTTGTCTCTTCATCGGCAGGAGGAGGAGTAGTAAGAATGACCATGTCCTCCTCCTCCTCCTTTTGTCTCTTCTTCTTCTTCTTCTTCTTCTTCTCTACTCTCTCAGGTGTGTCCATGTCGACAGGAACAGGAGATTCCTCCAGACTCTCTGACCTCCTCTTCCTCTTCTTCTGTGGGGAGGGAAAGAGGGAGTCTGTAGGAGGAGTCATGATGGGAGGAGATGAAGGTGGAGGGGCACAGGTGATGCTGTAGATCAGTTTGTTTTTGAAGCTGAAACAGAGGAAACAAAAAAAGTCAGTTCAGTCTGAACACAAGTCCACCTGTCTCAGCTGAGGTGGATCGAGGTCCAGCCTTACAGAGCAGCTTCACTCTGAATCCACTTCCTGAGTTGAGTGGGTTCAGGCCCAGAGGATCAGGTTCAGGCCCAGGTTCAGGTCCAGAGGATCAGGTTCAGGTCTGGAGAGCAGGAGGTTGTCTTCGGCTGTGTCCATACAACTATGTTTCCATTTTAAAACGGTACTTTGAAATCAAATTAAACAAAACATCTGAAAAAACATTTCACATGACCATCCACCTACACTGAGCATGTGCAAGCTGGTGTAAACAGGAAGTAGATTGTCTCCTCTGCAGTTGGTTAGTTACAGTAAATCCTCTGAAGGAGGAACAGCAAAGACAGTTTCTGTCTGTCCACACTGCAACACAACACCAGGTTTTTCAAAAGTAAAACAACCAGAGGACGAAGAAGAGATGAGACTGAAAGCACAGGTTAAGGTGAGTATGTGTGAAACTCACTCACTCACTCACTCACTCACTCACTCACACACACACACACACACTCATACACTCACTCACTCACACACACACACACACACACTCATACACTCACTCACTCACTCACTCACTCACACACACACTCACACACTCATACACTCACTCACTCACACACACACACACTCACACACTCATACACTCACTCACTCACACACACACACACACTCTCTCTCTCTCTCTCTCTCTCTCTCTCTCTCACTCTCTCTCTCTCTACCTGTAATCAGTTGATCGATGCTGCTCCCGCCAGACTTGAAGTGGTGGATAAAGATGATGAGTCAGAGTCAGAGTCAGAGCGATGACCCCTCCCCCCACCCAGATACAAAGTCAGACCCACACCAGCTTCCTGCAGAAACGTTCTGGACTCTGTGGTTCAGCAGGTTCCCCTGGTCTGACCTGGTCTACACAGAACCCGGGTTCTGAGGTCACTTTGATTCGGAGTTTAACTCGCCTCTCTCACCGCCCTGCTGCTGCACACGGTCGGACGGCGACACGCTGCTTATTTACTTCCTAATTGATAGCAGCGCATGCGCGCGGTGCGTCACAGAGCGTCGGGTGAGGAGCAGAGGTCTCACTCTGACTGAGTTTCCGGATCCCCTTTATACAGACAGCGGTAACAGAACCTTCCCGTCTTTTTAAAGTCATTTTAACCCTCTGGCTTTGTTCAAAATCACTATCCACTCAGCCAGAGATTTTTTATGTTTTTTTCTATTTTTACTGCATAAAGTTTTTAGCTAACATCAGTTCTTGTCATAAGTTTAAAATATCCATTCCTTTTTCATTTTTTAACCCTTCAAATGCCAGTTTGTTTGCACAATGCACTTGTTGAAAAACAACCTAAAAAATGACCATTTTCTATATTCTCAGTGCTACTGGATTTTCTTGTATTATTAATAGCACACTCTGAGATATGCAACTGATTAACAACAACACTGATAATTATGCATTGTTATTTTTGTGCAGGGAAAGCAAAGTAGATAAAACTCCCACTCAGCGTGTTCGTGGCCAAAAATGGCCACCTCCTGTTTGCATTCCCAAAATGCTGTAAAATTAATATATATTAAAAGATTTTTCCACTCTCCGACTTGATTTTTTAAATTTGCATGAGTCCTGGTCATGAAAACCAAAATTTCATTCAAATTCAGAATTTTAACCCTTTAAATGCCTGTTAGATCACATAATGCTAATTTATTTATTTATTTATAAAGGGAAAAAAACATAAAATCAATGTTTTTTTTTTACCAAATAATACATGCTACCTGATTTATTTTTTAACCATCATTGCAGCTAAATGTATGTCAATAATTAGCAGTATCAGTTATTTTTATGCATCATTACTTTTTTGTGCAGTGACAGAAAAACAGAAAAACTCCCAACTAGCATGTTCATGCAAATGGCCATCTCCTGTTTGCTTTTGCAAAATGCTATACAAACACTACTGAAAATATTTGCTACTTTCACTACTTACATTTTTTATTTTGGCATCAGTCCTGATCATGAAATCCAAAATTTTAATCAATTCCAGAATTTTAACCCTTTAAATACCAGTTAGATTACATATTACCACTAACTTTTCAGGGAAAGAAAGAGAGAAAGTTGTCATTTTTTTCATCATATAATTGATGCAACCTAATATTTTTTAGTCATCATTGCAGGTCAGTACCAGTAACAGTAACACAGTTTTTTTTTTTTTTTTTGCATTATTACTTCTTTTGAGCAGTGACAAAAAAGACAAACTCCCACTAGTGGCCAAAAATGGCAATTTATTGTTTGTTTTTACAAAATGCTAAGAGAATGTGTTGTTTCAGTGAGTGTGTGTGTGTGTGTGTGTGTGTGTGTGTGTGTGTGTGTGTGTGTGTGTGTGTGTGTGTGTGTGTGTGTGTATGCACCTGTGTGTGTGCATGCTCAAGGGCAGCAGGATGTGCAAACCACAGTAGAGTGGTCCTTGCAGACACACTTTCCACAGCTGGAGCAAGTGGTTGCCGTTCTTCTCCTGTAGGTGCACAGTTCGTACCTTCTCCTCATTTTGCTGGCGGGCTGTGGGTCACGCTCTGATTCAGACTGCTGTATCTCAGCAACAATGGCAGCAGTAATGGTCACCAGCATGTGCCCCAGCTCTTCCAGGAACACCCTTCGTTGGTAGGTTTTAGAGGACTCCCACTCAGGATGGACTGAATTCCACAGGACAAAGGCAGGTAATCCACACCGCCTTTGCATTTTTTATGAAAATAACAAAGCTACAGATGCTTTCAACATGTGCATCAAAGCCAAGTTTGCCGGGGAAATTTATTTCACTCTATCTTGCAAATACATATTGTGCTGCAATTTCATGCACAGGCACAATTTTTTTCATGCACAAACACAAACCATTATCTGACATCCTTAAGATCACACCTATGTCAAAATTGTGTCATTCATTCGCTCCATTGGAGGGCAGTAAGCCATCATACACCCCTATTGGAAACTAAGAATATTACATGTCATTCTCCCTTGGCCAAAAATGGATAAATGAAATAATCTGGTAGAAAACATTAAAAACTACAATTTTCAAGCGCTGAGTTCAGAATGAAAGCTATTTTATCTAAATTGTATGATTTAATACTGTAAATAACAAGGAATTAAACAATGTAGTTTCAATTGGCCAGAAGTGGCCATGATGGAGCCAAGTTGTACAATTGAATGTATACAGTATATTATTCATATATTTATAGAGCTGAAGTTGAAAATTAAAAAATCTGAAAAAAATCCAGACCCTTGGGAAATTTCATTCCATATGCATTAACACAGCTAAAATGGTCAAAAAAAGAAAGTGAACTGGACACAAATGGCCAGCATAGAGCCCAGAGGGTTAATCAGAATTGTTGGAGTCGTTTGTGCATTGTGTTCATCGGTATGTGTGTATATGAAAATAATGCATTCACTTGTTGTAGTTCCCTAATTTGCACAGTAGGTGGTATGTGGAGTATGGGGAAGGTACAAGTAAATCAGGAAGTAATCACTGAGCAGGTGTGAGGTGTGTTGCTTACCGGTGGATGCACACAGTTTTCGGACCGTCAAGTGTAGCATGGCCGACCATTGAGCTTTTGTTTCATTTTCATGCAAGTTATTAATGGATATAAATACATGTAGGTGGACGTATGGTTTACTGTGATGGATCACAAGATGAAAATAAACACTTTGATTATTGCTGCACAGACGTTCGTGGTATGACTTAATCAACTCGCTGAGCAAAGGAGACGCGTCAATCAGGCAAGTCACGGTATAGCAGCCCCTCTGTGGCTTGTAGGTTTTTTGTTTTAAGTCAAGTCACAATAAGAATTCATCGATTGATTTGGTTTCTGATAGCTCTTTCTTCATTTGTTAAAAAGTTTTTCCAAACATGTAAAATCCATTTAGATGCTAAATGTTAGCTGAGGTTGTTGTGTCCACACTGTCCTGCTGTTTTATCACTTACAGTTTATTTAAACTTCTTTCTTTTCACATTAAACTCTGATCCTGTATTTGTACTTCCTGTTTCAAACCATCAACACTTTTAAACTCCAGCAGAGACAATGAGGACAGACAGCAGGACCTGACATTAAAGGACCTGTTTGTAAGGCTTTGCTAAGGCTACATAGCTAACATTAGCATTAGCAGCTGTTTACTTACCAGTCTAGGAGAAATGATGTGAGTTCAGCATCAAACTTCATTCATTTACTCACCAACAGCCAGTGCTTACAATGCTAACTTCTCTTCTTCTATTGAAGTTAGCATGCTAACCAGATAGCTCTCTGATACTGAGTGACTGTCCAGAGGACATATTATAACCTCTCATATTGTAAACACAACAATGGCTAAAGCTCTTGACAAGACTGGTGAGTGAACAGCTGTTTATGCTAACATTAGCCATGTAGCAATAGCTGAACTTACAGATAACTCATAATGTCCAGCTTCTTTTAACTAGACCTGACCTTTTACCTTCAGCTCAGCTTCTTCCATCCTTAATTTCTTCCTCTGAACAGAAACAAACTCTGATGTGTTTGTTAGATAAATATTTTAAATCAGAACCATGTTAAAATATGTGACAGTTTCTACTGAAGTTACAGTTTAAATCTCCATATTCACTACA